GGGGGGGGGGGGGGTCGGAGCCAGAGGGGACGGTTCTGGGTGGCGGCAGTGCGAAACGAGACGGTGCCGTGGGTGTCTTCGTAAGATTGTAAATAAAATACTTCCATTTTGTACTTTACAAAAAATCATTCCATCTATTTAATAAATCGTTGTGATGAATAAATACCTGGAATAACGACTTACTTCAGATATGTGAATGTATGTATGCAATTACGTCCATAACGGCGATACAACTTTTTCAATCCATTAACCAATTTTATGAATTTTACTATACTGAGACAATTAAGACACAGACTTGGAATTGTACTTCTTGGTTTTTATATCGTGACATATAACCCCTAAGCCCTTTCTTTCCCCTTCCTCTCAAGGAAACTTACTCGCGCACTCTTTCAATATCTCGTAAACTGACTTGAAATGGCTCTGGTTGGATGGCTTTTTTTTAAACCATATTTCGTACGACATACGATTTGATTAATTTTCAAACAAAATTCATTCCTTTTACTCTTTAATAAATAAATACGATTTAAAATTCCTGGGGCACTCCAGACGACTTCAGCACAGCTTATTTATGATTCGAATAGCTTCTCGAATAGCAATCTGTTTCTCGTTCATTTTTCGTGCGTGTGCATCTCGTACGTTGTCAATGTCGAATGACGTGCTCGGTAAACGATAAACGTGGGTAGCAGTGTGCTTGCAAACTCGTTCAGGCGAGTGCGAGAAGAGCATGTGCGTTGAATAGTTCAATTATTGCTTCAGCTGTATATCCAAACAAATTATTAGACAATTAACTTTAAAAGGAATGAAGAAACCAATTTTTTTTAACATTTGGATACTCTCCATTAACTTCTTTTCAAATAATTTATTGCAGAAAAGACACAATCATCCAAAAAAGATGCAATTAAATGCATATTGAATTTCCACCTTTCTATCAATAAGAAGCAACAACTTCACAAATTCTTCAATTAACAAAAGTCTTAAATTTATCTGATTGTGTTCACGCTGTAAAATACAACAATTACTAACCATTTGTAACAATTACAATTTACAATTTTTTACCAATTAGATCTTTTACAATTACAATTTTTACAATTTGGTTTTTTTGGAATTTACCAGAAAGTGATATCTGCGGCTCACCTATCCAGAGTCTCATTTTCATGTGACGAAAGCTGTCAAGTAATAGCGTTTGACATGCCCCCAGCATAGAACTTCATAGCGCAAGTGCACATCGAAATTCGAGGTGTTCCTTGTCCTGGCATAGTTGAGCACAGGCATTACCAAAAGACAATGATAAGCTGTCTTCAAATCTTACGCTCTATCACGATAAACTCCAGCTGCACGGGTCAGATTTCATTCACTATTCCTATGAACAGTGGGCAATAAGACATTGTTAATAATTATCAAATCCAAGTTGTTTTTGCAAAGCCTGAAACATTTTTATCCATTTGTAAATTGTCTAGTACATAATAATACATTTTAATTGTAACATTCTAATATGACATCTGATTTGAAAAATCAGTTTGCTGTCTGTAGGAGGCAAGCATAAAATTAGTGTTTGATTTACATTCCATTTTTAGGAACCAACTTTAACATAAGCCATTAACCTGATAGGTCTTCTTACGAGTGTATCTTCACACAACATAATGTTTATAAGAAAATACACTTTTCCGTATGTTATTTCAAACTGCTTAATCAAATATGTGCATACGTGAATCTGTCAGCTCACAAGCAGTATGTTTGATCATGCGTTGCATAGTTGTCGAACTTCTTTCCTTGTCCCTCCAGGCAACAAGATCAATCAGCGAAGTTGCCAGGACCAGCCACGCCTCTTGGTCTATGGTGTTTTCAGTCGTGGAGGGCGTTTGTGCTTTGACTGTTGATGGCCAGTTGGGATGGGCGGGGGGGGGGGGGGTGCCAAGCAACGCATGGTGCTCTAAGTTTCTAAGAACGAAATTAACCAGAAAGGTTTTTGTTTAAAACTTCAGAAAAAATATAATTTTCTAATTACTCTTGATAAAACCATTAACTTAATTTTATGTTGTGACTTCTGCGGTCATTAACTGATTTATATTTGTCAATTAGATTACAAAATTCAAATTGACATATCTAAAAACAAGTAGCACATTTTCTAATATTTTGAAAACTATATAAAAAAATTAATTACACTATAAATTATAATAAAAATTTTAAAAAGTTGTATTGGTGACAGTGATTTAAAATGCAAGATCTTACAAAATTCAAGATACCAAAGTTAATTCTCAAGCAATGCCAGTTTTAAAATGAGCTTTTGGCTAATTCTAAAAATTATTTACTTACCAACATTGGTTAACCACAATTTACCCAAACACTTGTATTTTACTAAAGATATACTCCTCTCCCTCAAAGGATGAACACACAAAGGAAATATATTTGTGTCATATGTCATTGTGCATTACGGAAATTATGAACAAGAATGACAGATGAAACAAAAAATCATGAGAAACATGATATGCAGGCACGTATACATCAAAGCCAAGCGCCAGCATAGCGAAGCACCATTATGAGTTTTGCCAAAGATCATGAGAAGAGAAATTTCATGTTAAGGAAGTTCAATGGGGCAAAGGTGCGATTTAGAGTGTTTAGAGTAGTATCGATTTGTTGAGGGAGCATCAGAGACCCAATGATCTGAGTTAGCACGAGGGTGACAATTGTGGGTGTTTGTTCAATTGCGAACTTTGCCAATGATGATGTGAAGGAAAATTTAAATTAAGGAAGATGAATGGTCAAAAGTAAATGGAGTATGTGAGGTAGTGCCAAGTTGTTTCATGAGAGCGTGTGGACGAATGAGAAAGTGTGCCTGGGCCGAGAGCCACAGAATGGTTCATTGTGAATTTGAGTAATGATCGTGTTAAGGGAAATTCCATTTAAGGGAAGTTGACTGAGGCCAAAGGCGGCAAGAGTGTCTGGGTGCTACTAATGAGTTCATGACGGGCCTTGACGCGATGAGTGAGGGTGGCACGGCGGCCGCGCCGTGGCGTGCGCAATGTGAATTTTGCCCAATGAGCGTGTGAAGGGAATTTCATATAAGGAAGTTGACTATGTTAAAGAAGGAGCGTGGTAGGCAGCAGTACCGAGTTGTTCACTGAGCGCCGTAGGACAGCCGTGAGCGATGGTGGCACCGGGCCAAGACGCCGTGGCGTTTGTCCATTGTGGAATTTTCCAATGAGCGTGTAAGGGAAATTTCATATAAGGAAGTTGACTGATGTTAAAGAAGGGAGCGTGTAGGCCAGCAGTACGAGTTGTTCATGAGCGCCTTGAGCAGCCGTGAGCGAGGGGCACGAGTCAAGATGCGTGCGTTGTCATTGTGAATTTTGGGTCAAGAGCGAGTGAGGAAATCATGATAAGGAAGTTGATCTGATGTTTAAAGAAAGGGAGCGTTCTGTGCAGCAGTACCGAGTTGTTCATGAACGCCTTGAGGCAGCCGATGAGCGAGGTTGGCCACGGCCGAGCGCCGTGGCGTGGTCCATGGCCTGCAGCGCCTGCAGGAGCGCGGGGGCGGCCCCGGCAGCTCCACGAAGCGCAGCACGAAGGAGTGCGGCTGCGTGCGCAGCCCGTCTTCAGCCCGTCCAGCTGCCGCGTGCGCGCGGCGTCTCCTCCCCGCCTCGGGCCCGACGCCTGCACGCACACGCACGCGCTTGGGCTGGCGGCTTTGGGGAAGCGGGACAGCCGCTTGGGGCAAATGGGCCGGAGCGGCCTCGCGCTGAGCGGGAAGGGCAAGGTTGGGAGTGCAGGGCTGGGCTGAGTTGGGCAAGGAAAGGCAGGATTGTGCAATGTTGAGCTTGCTGCGGCAGGGTAACTTGGTAGGGCTGTGCCAGGGTGGTCAGGGCAGCAGAACTGGCCTAGGTTTGGCTGGGTAGGACAGGGCTGGGCTGGGCTAGGAAAGCCGTGCTGGGAAGGGCTGGGCTGGGCACGGCGAGCGTGACAGTGCTGGGCAGGGTTGAGCAGGGAGGGTGGAGCAGGGCAGGGGGGTTACGAGGCAGGCTGAGGTTAGGGCAGAGCTGAGTAGGACTGAGCTTGGGGCAGGGCTGAAAGGGGCGGGACAGGAGGGTGACGGGAAGGGGGGGGGGGTCGGAGCCAGAGGGGACGGTTCTGGGTGGCGCAGTGCGAAACGAGACGGTGCCGTGGGTGTCTTCGTAATGTAAATAAATACTTCATTTGTACTTTACAAAAAATCATTCCATCATTTAATAATCGTTGTGATGAATAAATACCTGGAAAACGATTACTCAGATATGTGAATGATGTATGCAATTACGCAACGCTGATACCAACTTTTTCCTAAATCCGATTAACCATTTATGAATTTTACTATACTGAGACAATTAAGACACAGACTTGGAATTGTACTTCTGGTTTATATATCGTGAAATTATAACCCTAAGCCCTTTCTTCTCCCTTCCTCTCAAGGAAACTTACTCGCGCACTCTTTCAATATTCTCGTAAACTGACTTAAATGGCTCTGGTTGGATGCTTTTTTTTAAATCATATTTCGTACGACATACGATTTGATTAATTTTCAAACAAAATTCATTCCTTTTCTCTTTAATAAATAAATACGATTTAAATTCTGGGCACTCCAGACGACTTCAGCACAGCTTATTATATTGAGATGAAGCTTCTCGAATAGCAATCTGTTTCTCGTTCATTTTCGGTGGCGTGTGCATCTCGTACGTTGTCAATGTCGAAATGACGTGCTCGGTAAACGAATAAACGTGGGTAGCATGTTTGCAAAACTCGTTCAGGCGAGTGCGAGAAGAGCATGTGCGTTGAATAGTTCAATTATTGTTCAGCTGTATATCCAACACAAATTATTAGACAATTAACTTTAAAAGAAATGGGAAGAAACAATTTTTTTTAACATTTGGATGCTACTCTCCCATTAACTTCTTTTCAAATAATTTTATTGCAGAAAACAACATCCCATCCTAAAACTTATATAATAATATATATTATATACTACTATTATATATATATATATATATAATATATAGTAGTTATTATATAT